GTAGGTATGATTTGATACTTGTTTTCCTGAAAATATAACTGACCCCCAAAACAAGCCCTAGCCCGAATTTCACATCTGTGGCAAATATAAGCCCTTTCTCCTAAAGTAAGCCCTACTTAAGAGCCTGTGCAGCTGCCTGCCTGCTAATTCTGTCTGGTTGCTGCTGTTACAAAGGGGGGGGGGGGCAGCCACTAAGTGAAGTGGGGGGGTTGGAGGACGAAACAAGGCAGGGAGTGGTGGAAGACAAAGATTCTTGTCCTTGCTCTCCACTGCAACAGAGCAGGAGGATGAGTGATGCATCGCTGCTGCGGCCACTAAGCGAGATGAGTGGATGATGAAGCTCCACCAGTATATTTGATGCCTTCCCTGCAGAGATCTGATACTGGTGGAGTAACACGGTCTGGAGTAGCCCCTTCCCATCTCACCCAGTAATTGTGACCAGCAGGGCACCTCCTGCTGCCACTCTCTGTTGCCTGGAGCCCTTGAAGAGTTTGCCTTGCCATCTGCTTTCCAGCTCCTCCCCAGATCCCCTTTCTTCCCAAAGCATCCCTTCACTAACCTGCTTTCCGGCTCCATTCTCTATTATCACATGCAGGGCAACGAAAGAAGTTTGTGGGGCTAAAAATAAAAAGATCAATCAGACCTTCAAACTTCTTACGCGCGCGCGCGCGCGCGCGCACACACACACACACACAAACACAACTCACAAAGTTGGAAGGTCTGATTCAACTTTTTTTTACAAGTAGTAAAATCTGTAGATGGAGTTTTCTTTTGTTACCCTGCATGCATTGGCGAACCCAGCTGAAAAACAGGTTAGTGAAGGGATTGGGGAAGTAAGGAAAGCATGGTGGGAGCTGGAAAGCAGGTGGCAAGGCACATCCCTCAAGGACTGCAGGCAACTGGTGATAGAACGTGAGTGGCAGCAGGAGGCACTCCCCCTGGTAAAATGAGGAAGGGGCCGCTCTGGCCACTGCCTCCTCACTCCGTAAGAGTTTTGCAGGCCAGACAGCCAAGGATACTCTTGGGGATTTGTCCTTCAACCCCCTAACATTTCATCTTCCACCCTCCCTCACTTAGTGGCACTGGTGCATCGCTCAGCCTCCTGCTTCATTGCAGTGGTGAGCAAGAAGAAGAAACTTCATCCTCCACCACCTGCCTTGCTTCATCCTCCACCCCTCCCACTGCCTCGCTTAGTAGCCGCAGCACTGGTGCATCACTCAGTATTCTGCTCTGTTGCAGCAGCAATCAAGGAGAAGTTTAGTCTTTCACCACCACCACACCTTACTTAGTCCTCCACCTTCCACCGCCTTACTTAGTGGCCATGGCACTTTTGCATTGATCACCCTCCTGCTCTGTTGCAGCGATGAGTAAGCCAGTGATCTTCATGGGGCTGCTGGAGCTCTCATCCCCAGGCAATTGTTGGCATATTGATGACCTAGCTGCGGGTCCCTCTGGTAAGCTGGTGCAGGGCGCACAAGGCATCTCTGCATCCACTGCCTCACTTCATCCTCCATCCCTCTCACTGCCTCGCTTAGTGGCCGCGGCACCAGTTTATTGCTTCATCCCCCATCCCCCTTGCCTCCTGCTCCATTACAGCCATGAAGAAAAATAAGATTCCCCCAAAATAAGCACTGGGGCAAAAAAATAAAATAAAACCGGGTGTTATTTTCAGGTAAATAGGGAAGCTGTGTTCCAATATCTAAGAGCTGCTGTAAAGAAGAGTGTTCAACCTATTCTTCAAGGAACCTGAAGGCAGGACAAGAAGCAATGGATGAAAACTAATCAAGGAGAGACCAATTTAGAATTAAGGAGAGATTTCTTGACAGAACAATTAATCAATGGAATGATTTGCCTCCAGAAGTTGTGGCTGCTCCAACACTGGACATTTTTAAGAAAAGATTGGATTACCATTTGACTGAAATATTATAGAGTCTCCTCCTTTGAGTTGATGGTTGCACTAGAAATCTCCAAGGTCTCTTCTGTTATTAATCCCTTTGTTTTTCAGATGTATACCACTGCTTTGAGTAATAGTTTTATTTTGTTTCATTTAGTCATGTCCAATTCTCAGAGACTGCCTGGATAAGTTCTTGCAGTTTTCTTGGTTTGCTGTTGCCTGCTTACCAGAGCTGAGAGAAAGTGATTAACCAGACGAAACCCAGCTGACTTTGTTCTTAAGGCAGGACTAGAATTCTCAGTGTCACAGTTTTTAGCTTTATGTTTTTAACCACTTGATCTTCGCAGGCTTTGTAAAAGGACACATAGGGCTGCTTTCCATTTTCTTTTAAAGAAAATCTGTAGATGGAGTTTGTTTTATTACTTAGTTAGGAAAGTGAATTTTCTATAGGTGGATATTTAACTATTCTCTTTCCATGTCAGCAAACACGTTTCCAACTGGCAGAAATTACTGAATGTATTTTAAATGCATTTAAATCAGTTTAATCTCTCTGGGCTGCATAGTGGTATTTCTGTAAATCTCATTCTTTTCAGTGAATTTTTCATTTGTAATAAATGCAATCAAAAGTTATAGCTGCTGTCTAAATTTATTGTTGGCATTAAAATTGTAATTTTAAAATATAATTAGGGTATCCAAAAAAGAGAAATATTCTGAGAGTACATTTTTTTTCTAGAAGAGCAGTATTTTAATGATGCTGGATATGGTTTCATAATTATGCAGAACCATCCATACGGATTAAAAAAAAGAATTATTTTGCTTTTTTATATTCTAAATCAGTTTAATTACATTAAAGTATTTATAATTCTGAAAGCAAGCACCTTGAAACTTTTTGTAAAATCCTCTTGATTAAGTATCCACTTGTAACAGTTCGTCTAACAGTCTTGATTAAATTATTATCCTGAAGATGCTCCCAGATGATAACCAATAATAAACTTTGAGAGTTCAAATTTTGGATGATACTTTATAAACCATCCAAATTTAAATTAATAATTTTAGCTTTTTCTAAGGAAGGAATTTTAAAAATTGGATTGAATTAAATTTTACTGTGTAGCATATTTCATAACTTTTTAAAATCATTTTTTTTATTAATGTTGGAAAACAAGAACATTTTATTTTACTTTAATAATTTTTATTTTATTTCATTTTCAATCCATTTTATATTTATTTAGGCTCTTTACCTAAATAAAACTTAACCCTATAAAGTAGTTTGACCTGATGAATTGTGTCTAATCCAAAATATCCATTGAATTTCATTACATTTATTTGGTTTTCCAACACCTTTATTCAATATCTCCAGACCATCTTCCCCCTTTTTCCATTTTTTTGGCTGGCTGACACATGGAGAATTTTGATAGCATATTATAGGCATTTTTATAGATTTAGCCATAAAATTGGAATAGCTGGTTAACAAAACAACTGTTCACCAGACACTAATAGGCAACCTAATGATATGTTCCTTACAATGCCTACAGATTCCCACGGTTTATATTACTATCTCAATTTTTGAAACACACTTTCAAACAGAGCATAGGCCCATAGTCCAGTTTAATTCTAATATATTCCCAGGATAAATATATGTAAAGAATATTTCAAACTGGTAATTATCAATATCCTGGGGATATTGGGAATAGACCAGAAGGTTCTGTTGTATTCAAATTATGTTTGTTCATATTTGGTATTTTTTGTGAAATGTAAAAACCAATATACAGTATAATAAACAGAGAAAAATACAAAAATGATATACAGTAAAGGAATTAATATATAATAGTAATAATGCAATACTAATAATTATTAATAGGTATAATGAAAAGTTATAATTATTTTAGCAATTATATTAGTAAACATAAACATAAGAAAGCCTACACTTATTTCCTACTGAAATCTGGAACATAGCAGAGGTTTCATGGAAAACTAACAGGGGAATTTATGGGGCTGACTAAAGGAAAAAAAGCATCTTTTATTTCAATTTTTTAAAATTCTTAAGACTTAATCATTACTTTTTCATTTATTAAGAGTGAAGGTAAACTAATTAGGTGGGTTTTTGAACTTGTCATTCTAAAAGCCTCCCATTAGTTAGGGTAGTTAAATAAGCAATTTCCAAAATCAATGAGAAATTGAAGTTAGCAAAGGCCTCTTTAAAAGGCTCCAAGAATGCCTTGATCTATTCATGTCCCAGTACTCAGACCACTGTCCTATGATCTCCTCACGAGAAGCAACCATCCAAAGCAGAGATCTCCAACCTTGGCAACTTTAAGACTTGTGGACTTCAACTCCCAGGATTCCTCTGTCAGCTTTGCTGGCTGAGGAATTCTGGGAGTTGAAGTCCACAAGCCTTAAAGTTGCCAAGGTTGGAGACCCCTGATCCAGAGCCTATGTCGGTAAGCTCCCATCCTCTCCTTGTCCGGAGAACTAGGAACTAGTCCAGTTGTTGCCAAGGTTCTTGTTTCAGCTCTGAGGGAGATGTGCTCAGTTTACCTCCTCTGGAACTCCTGTAAACAGAACTATTTAGAACATTGTGTGCTGGCATCTTCTCATTGGATGGGTATTTATAATAGTTCTAATTTTATTATTGCTACACACTATTATTGTAGTGGTTAGTTTATTATATTTATTGAATTATTGTAATATGTTCTTATTTTTGATACTGTATTATAGAATATCAATGGAATCTATGAAAACTAGCAAAATGAAAATATAGTAAATAAAAATAAGTATTTATTTATATAAGTACAGATACATATTAATGGATATATCTATACATATAAGGGGGCTGTATGCATGAAATAAAGTTTTGCGTATAGTTCAGAAAATCCAACCTGATAGATGGACATAGTTATTAATATAACTAATATATTGGCATGCTAATATTATTGACTTGTTCATTTTTTTTATACCAATCCAGTAAGTTCTAAAAACTTACAAAATTTTTCTTCTTAACTACCTATTTTATATAGAAACTAGATTGAAAAGTTGGAATATTTTCATAGCCACCAGTTGAAACTGCAACACCACAACCGTTTGAAATGTAAAACTGCATTTTAATATCATGATGAACCAAGAGAAGTGGGCTAATCTGAGTCCTTCCGAGTTTTCTCAGCTTCAGAAATATGCAGAATGTAAGTACTTTTATGTTTCCATAATGTCACAATGAATTATAAACTTATCAAATTATAAACTTACAAAAAGTAATAGAAAAAGTCCAGTTATATCTAATTTAAAATCTGTGCTATATTCTCTTTCCAAAACAGAAAAGTCAAGATATTTTTTTAAAATCAAGACATTTTTAAAATGAATTAATTATCAATAATACACAATAAAATTAGTAAATAATTATATTATTAATAATTATTTGATTGTTAAAAATGCCTTTGACTTTTCTGTTTTGAAAAGAGCCTGTAGAACATAGATTTTAAAATTAAGGAACATTGCAATAATTGCAATAATTGAATATTCTTCATTGTATGTTCTTCTAAAGTCTGGCAACTGAATAGTGCACTAAACTATATATTTTGGAGCATTATTATTATCTACTCAAATGTAAGTAACCCTTCTCCAAGAAGGATTTCTTGAACCATAGATAAAGCTTAAAACTGGGAGACCTTCTTTGATTGTTAAACAGCTCTGTCACTACATAATATCCTGTTTAATAAATCTTGATATAATAGACTATATGCAATGCCCCAAATTTATAAAAATCTACATAATATTGATAATGGTATAATTATACTGATACCATAAATCATCATAGTATACTTATGCATTTGACAAACACTGAATTTAGTTGAATACTTTATTTGGTCAAGTGTGATTAAACGCACAAAGAACTTGTCTTTGGTGCAGAACCTCTCAATGTACATGCAAAAAATAAAATAATGGTCATTATCTTCATAATAATAATACCAATAAAAGGGTAAAGAAGATCATAAGAATAAATAATAATATCATAGGCATAAATTAAAATGACACATAAATTTGTTTTTTTCCAATTTAATAATTATTTTGCAGCTTCTCAAACCTCACAGTATATATATCTTCAGCTATATTTCTAAAAATTACAATATACAAATTTGAATAATTGAAAGTTATAACTATTCTTATAAAAATGGTAATAAATACAATTGATGAGATTTATGTTCTGAAATGCTTTATTACAATTGAATTAGACAATGTTCTGGTGAAAATAGTATATTAAATTATTAGTCATGGAGCCAAAAATAAATGCTATTTGTTTAGGAAGCCAGCTTGTTTCAAAAAGTAAAATTCCAACACTATTTTTACAGATTCAACAAAGAAAATTAAGGATGTTTTAGAAGAATTCCACGGCAATGGTGTGCTAGCAAAATATAACCCTGAAGGGGTAATTTTTTTTCTTATCTAATTTCTTACATTATTCTTGTTGCTAGAAATGCACTCCATTATTTTCGTGTCCTCTGCGATCATATTGTACATAACTAGTACATATTAATAGTTACTTATATATTTAAATCAAACACCTGTGCAGTACTTCAGAAGTTACTAGAATGTTCATTTTTATTCAAATAATTTCATTTTAAGCAATTTCATTTTAAGAAATTATCAATAAGACTTTTTTTTTCAGCTGACTGCTTATGCTATATTAATACCCCAATGCTTAGAGTGGTAACATGTAGCAATGTATAGATAAAATGTCCCAACTGATAAGTTTATCATGCTCCAATTAAATTTTATTGTTAAAATGTTAAGAACGTTATTGACATATCTGGGAGATGTCTTTTACTAAGGACATTATCCATCATACCAGATCAGATAGGATGAGTATGCTCTTGTTCCTTTTTCTAAGTATTATCATCTAATAGAAACTAGGATGTATGCCTTTTATCTTAATTAAAATAGAAGTCTGCACTATGAAGCAGTCTGGTCCCTAAAGTTTAGCAGGCTTCTACCTCTTAGCCTTCCATTAAACTTAGAAGACCTGGCTTCCTCACCACACATCCCCAAAAGTGCTGGAATAAGATTGGATAATTGCATGTTATAAGATTGACTTGGTGCCAGGCCTTTGTTATTTTTAATTCTTTAATCTGCTTAGTTTTGTAATGTTAATATAATTTTATATGTTGTTGTAACTTTTGATTGGAAGTCACCCAGATTTAGTTGGAAGCTGGGTGGCTATAGAAATGTTTAAAATAAAATAAAAATAACAAAATAAAATATCTTTGGCACTGCCATTCTATGGAAGAAAATTTAACTGTCTAATAGAACTTTATCCAAGACTGATCAAATCAGACTCAAATAAACATTTATATGGTGTCTTGAATTGTGCATCTAAACAATTGTTGGTTACTACAGCTGTTTGCTAAAACCATTCCTTTGCAATTTTAATGCTGGGAACTTTTTTATTACATGATTTCTTTCTAAGCTACCGTGTTTCTCATATAATAAGGCCGGGTCTCATTTTTTTTTGAGCCCCGAAAAAATGGCTAGGCCATCTTTTAGGGGTGACTTAATTCCTCCCCACTTGCATCTTAGGCAGGCGGCGACAGCTTGGATGTTGACCTCGGCGTTGGTGGGGCACTTTGTATCAGGGTCAACGCAGGCAGGTGTGCAACAAAAGTACTTCCTAACAGCAAGCCCCCCTGCCATTTCCCCCCCATTTCACATGTTTTAATATAGGCCTTAATTTGGGGGGAGGGGCTTAATTTCATTTCATGCCTATAAAACATGCTGGGACTTCTTATTGGGGGGGGGCGTATTGTTGGAGAAACAGGGTAGTTAGTAATGAAATCAAAATTTTAGCAAAAAAGGCTGGTTCTAAGAATAAGTCTGAGGAAATTTTCTGACTGTATAATTTGATACAAAAATATTTCCTTTATTTTCCTGCACTCCAGAAGCAAGATATTCTTAAACAAGTAAGCATATCTAGTATATGTGTTAGCTGATATACTTGATCAGTGCTATTGATTTCTGTAGATTTATTTTATATGTTCTTTTTTTATATTTAGATATTAATGGGTAATAACCTTCATACAGTATAATCAACTCTTTTTTTTTTTATGCATGACATCTGTACGTATAATGCAAGTTGATAGTAAAGATAGTGAAGATAAAGAAAAAGTAAAGTAGATTTGATACTGACTGCAGTTTTTTATTACAAAATATATAGCATGAAGGAAGCATATGATTAATATTCAAAGATAGCCTAGAAACAACATTCTTTGTACTGTGTTTTTGTTGTGCCTGTGGGATTGACAAATATTCTCTGTACCTCTTTATGTTGATGAATAATCCTTGCCATATTTAGGCATACGGTTGAAAACATCTCTGAAAAATAAAGTAATCTTGCATGCAGGAGACATTAATAATTAGAGTGGCATAAAATGTATTAAGTTGAGAGCAAAAAGAAAACAAATGGAGTATAGTGGAGATGATCAGCAGCCTAAAGAAGCAATAATGACATGGAATGTAAGAAATAAGACAAATTCTGAAAATATATGGAGAAGAAAGTGAAGTAAATTCAGTCTGAGAAAAACATATACCAACGTTAAAAAACAAACAAACCAGAAACCGGGGAAGAGGGGAATTTAAATAGAGAAAAAGAACAGATAATACATCTTACAGCTCTATTTTGGGTATTCACAGTTTATTTAATTTATAGCCTGACCTTTATTATTTATATAAATATTTACATAAACAATTCAAGGCAATGAATATACTTGTACTTTTTTCTCCTATTTTCTCCACAAGAATAATCCTGTCAGGTGCATTGGAATGATAGAGAGTGTCACTCACCTGGTTTTTAATGTCTGGCGCAAGATTAGAGCACACAACTTCAAGTATCTTGTCTGGTGCCCTAATCACTAGACAAAACTGGTTCTATATCACATCCTTGTTACAGTGAGTTAAGCCCAGATTACAGAATGAAAAGTCAACTGTTTCTCCAAGGAGTTTCCTTTTTTGCTTAGTTTTAATTAAGAATGAAGATGATTAATTCTTATTGTCTTCAAGAGTTCCTTGGGCTAAGCTAAGCTACAGATTTTTAAAAAGTTGTAGTTTTAATGGATGGATCTCCAATGTCTGAAGAACTCTTCATCTAAAAGAGATAGAGGTAAATTAAAGCTTTTCTTTTTAATCCTTAGATTTACATGGAACTTCTTTCATCCAAGGTAGCAGTTTCTCTCAGCATAACAAAAATTATTCTTTGTCTCCTTGAAGATGCTGAATTGTGGCTGAGGCAAGATGTTTTCCCCCTAGTTCTCAGAACTAACTATGGCAACTGTTATATGTATTTGGAGGGGAGGATTTGAAATCCTGAATTATCTCATACAGGCATTGAGAGTTTCTGTATACAATGTGTAAATTTTATCCTGATTCCCCAGGCATAATTATCTATCTTTGTTTGTAGACAATTGATTTAGAAGGTTTCAAGTTATTTATGAAGACCTTTCTTGAGGCTGATTTACCAGATGAATTTTGTGAACATCTCTTTGTATCTTTTGGAAACAAAGCTCTTCACAGCAGTCCATTGGTAAAGAATAAATCACCATTCCTTCCAGGAGGTGAGTTTGATTCTGGGACTCAATAGAAAGCCTTTAATGATCCTTAATGTTTTTTCATTCTTTTGTAATGATTTAAATTTTTTGTAGTGGGATTGGGAGAAAATAGGACTTTTAGGAAAGGGAAGGAAATTGGTTATAAATTATAAAATCCAGAGACAAATATCACAGGGAATAGAGAAAAAGTTGGCAAACAGAAAGATTAAAAGGCTCAACTCTATTAATTTTTCCAGATCTCTCTTTTCAAAGTAATTTTTCAAATGAGAATAGACACATAATATTTTCATGTGTAAGATTTAAGTTGATCTTAGATATTTACTGAACACCCTTTAATATACTGTGGTTGTTATTCCCTATACATTTTTACCACAGTTTAAAGGATATTTTTTTATGAAAATAAGAACTAATTGTATTTAAATATGATGCTTCTTCATCCATTGTCTGGTATCTTAGTTATACTCAATTCAACTCAGTCCTTCTTACAATCACTCATTCCTAATCACTTCCAGACTGGACTACTGTTATGTACTGTAATGGAGCTGCCTTGAAGATCCAAGATCCTGATTGGTGTGGACTAGAGTGGCATAGGCAGTTATGTGCATTCCTATAACAGGGTGTGTTAAACCGCTGCACTGTGAGCTGCAATTTCTCCCTAGTGTAATTCAAGGTTTTAACTTTTTATGTTCTTCATGGTATATGGGATCGGGTTATCTAAGGAATCACATCTACCTGATTATATCAGTTAAACCTCTTAAATCTGGCAGAGAAGGCATGCTTTAGGTACTATCTTCTAAGGACCTACAGTTGGTGGGTCCCATGAGATGTGTTTCTTTGTCATGGTGCCCACCTTATGGAACATCCTTCTCCCTAGAATTCATTTATTTTACAAAATGTATATATCTCTTCAACTCATGTTCAGTGATTTTGGGACCTTACAAATTAGATTAGCTTCATCCATTTCAATATTTCAAAAGACTCTCGAGACCTGTTATTTTATCAGAACTGTGACTCCCAGAGATCCAGAAACTTGATTAATGGCTGCCTTGATATTCTTATTCCCTTTTTTCTATGGTTTGAATCTTTATTTTTTATGACATTTATTAATTTGTACTTTTATATATTATATCTGTTTTTTAATTATTGTTTTATCTGAATGTTGTGCACTGTCATTTTTTGTAAAATGAGTCGCTATATAAATTTGATTTAAAAATAAATAGCCCAATTTATCACCTTGAATGATATTTTGTGCAAAATGATATCCATTTTTTCAATTGCTACAGAAACAAAGAAGTGTTTTATGTATGATATCAGAAATATGGGCAGGTGGGATGTTCAAATATTTTGTTTCTTGTTATATAAGTAAACAGTATTAATATTATTTCAGGTTTGCGAATTGCTAAAAGCATAACTACACATCTTCAACATCTTTCCACAAAGCACATCCCAGAAGTAATCCAGTTGAAAGATATTGTTTGTTACCTTTCCCTTCTTGAAAGAGGGAGACCTGAAGACAAACTAGAATGTATGTATTTCATGCAAAACAATCCCCTGTTGTTTGTTCCAGTCATTTTCAGTATATTCATATATGTATTAAATTGTCATATATGTATTTAATTGTCATAACTTTGAAAATTAAATAAGTTTTAGACATTTGAGAGAATATAAATTTAAAATTGAAAGCCACCCAGGGTCACTGATTTATTTGCCAGGCTATAGAAGTTAATTAATATTATCTATATGTTCAGAAGTCAGTTCCATTGAGTTCATTGGATCTGTCTTTTAGATTATTATGTTGTATCCTTAGTGTGTAACATTTTTTTCAAGGAATAAATTTATTGCCTTCAACTTCCATTTAGTTTTGACGGTCAAATAACTTGCATGCCTCTGTTGATTGTGAATGAGAAGAATGTTTCATGGTACAAAATGCTTTTATGAGATGTGGCAGTAACTTATGATGAACTAACAGAGTTTTCTCCAATATTTTGAAAAGGCCTTGATTTGATAAACATAGGAAAAATGGCCATTGTAATCAATATTTGTTATTATTTTAACACATAGAAATATTCTGAAACGTATATTTTCATTATTTCACCGAAAAGTTAAATTTGAAATATTAATTAGTTTCAGCTGTTTTCAAAATGTACCTCTGCACAGTTATCATTGTCTGATCATGCACAGGTACAATTATGACACCTGGTTTATTAATTATCTAATGCTGTGTTGGTAGAAGGAATGGCAGAACATAGGGATTCCTCCAGGTTCTGCTACTCCTTTACCTGCATGCTGTTGCAGCTTTATTTTCACATAGTAAAATAGAAACAATCTAAACAAAACCCCTAAAAAAACTTGTAAAAATATTATGTTACTGGTATTGCAGAATTTAATATATTATTTAGAAGATAAAAAGTGAATTATTGAGACCAACATTTTTATTATGGCAGAGCAAACATAAACCCATTAAATGTATTTAGTGTATGAACTTAATCAAGTCGTTATTTGTTGATTTATTTATTATTAAAAGTTTTATATATATCTTGTTAAACATTAACCTGGCTAGCCCACAACTATAATAAAATCACAAACAAGAAAATCAAGAAAACCAGGCCTGTAATCCATCATATTTAGACTTTATCCATGAAATATTAAGGAGCACGGTGATCCCATTTATAATAAGTTTTCCCATTAAATTCATGAAAAGTTTAAATATATAAAGATTGCATCCATTTCTTGTATTCTGAAGTTATAATGTGTAATACTACTACTTTTAGATTCCATATTGAAATGTAGATAAAAAGCTAGTTTTTGTCAAGGCCATAGGTTTTCCAGTCATAATATATGATTATGAGTACTAGTCTATAAGAAATGCTGCATAAAGATTGATGTCTTTGAACTATGATGCTGTAGAAGATTGTTGTTTTTGAATTATATTTAAACAGCTCATTGAACGTGTTAATAATGATGCTAATATTTAATTATTTTGGACACCTAAAATAGAAACAAAAATCTTTGACAAAGGCTCAAAAATTTAGAAAAATCCAAAGCGATAAAAAAGAAGATAAATGTCACGATACATTGTTGAGTTATCGACAGATCACCATGACAAATGTATCGGTGCAACTGAAATAAGATATGTCCCACTCACTAAGTTCTGAAATGAATAACTTTCTAAGACATCATTGTACATTAAAACAGCAACATACAATTTATAACTGTATGCTAAGATATAGACAGTAGGCTATCTGCTGGATATTTGGTTCCATTGCAGGTTGAGAGATCAGATTTTAAACCGTATATTTTCTGAGCAGAATAGTAATTTAGTATCTTTAATACAAATATGTAACATATAAATATTAAGATTGGGTTATGCAAATCAGATTTTTCTCATCTATATATTAAAGAATAAATTATATCAGTTGAATAATATTAGATGCAAGTTATTTGTGAGCAAAATAATTCATACTTTGTTTCTTTTCATGATCATTATATTTAGATATTATCTAGAAATATGTATACTTTTATGACAAAGTAGTATATTCTATGAGGAAAAATTTGTTAGCTCATTGCAATAATCCATTTTGTTCCTTTGAAACACTGGACATTTTACCAACTTGGAATTTGCTATTTAATTACTAATTAAATAATTTTAATGTATTCCTGAAAGCTAATTGTATGTACATGTATTTTTCCAACAATCTTGTCCCAGTTAAAGTCAAAGACTGGATCTTCAGGCCTGAATCTCTACATTACTATAAAATGATGATGAATAGAAAGACAATATGCATTACTTTTTATGTTAGCATCATTTATTTCTCAGAATTTATTTCTGATGTAGTAGTTTCTATATTACTTATGTTATAATATAGTTTTAATTCTTTACCACAAAATGATTTTAATATTTTATTTCTCTTTAGTTATGTTTCGCTTATATGACACAGATGGAAATGGCTACCTGGATAGTTCGGTAATTTTACTGATTAAAATGGCATATTTAATATTTATTTATTATTGTGCTTTGATTATATTTATAAATAATTCAAGGTGGCAAACATACCGAATACTCATTCCTCTTTCTATTTTCCCCACAACAACAACCCTGTGAGGTGAGTTTGGCTGAGATAGCGTCTGACTCAAGTAACCCAGCCAGTTGGCCATGCCTAAAGTAGTATTAGAACTCACAATCTCCCAGTTTCAAGCCTGATATATACTGTATATATATGTATATGTATGGTATTCAGCTTTGTTCAGGTATTTTCCCACATCATTATAGTTGTGCTTTTAAAGTTGCTGCGATGTTTCGGTAGAATCTCATCTGCCATCATCAGACATGTGTGTGTGTGTGTGTGTGTGTATGTGCGCGCGCGCACACACACACACACACACACACAGACAACCTTCCTCCAGGCCTTCCTGTCCTCTATTAACCCCTGGAGTCCACTTAAACTTTAGATAGATAGATAGATAGATAGATAGATAGATAGATAGATAGATAGATAGATAGATAGGAAAGCTGTTGCACAGAAATGCCTTTAGTTCTAACTTACATTAATAGCACTTGTTGATGATAACAATTTATTTTTAAATTTATAGCCCATATTGCCATCTACAATAAAAAGATGAGTTAAAATTCAAAACTGATTAAAAGTAACATAGCATAACAAACATCAGGTAAAACCAGTAATCAAAATAGACTAAAGCAAATATCACCGAACTATCATAGAAATAAACCACAATATAGGATATACAAAGAGGATTCAAAAATACAAATATTAGATTGTCTTTGACTATGTAAGTGTTAGGGGATCTCTCTGGGGATCTCATAATTTTGTAATTAGAGATTTGTATTATTTGGTTCCATTAAGTTCAGTAAGATGAAGAGCAAATTAGTCAGGAACCATGATATGATTATTAAAAAAAGACAGCATCCTAATATTAATTACTTTCTAAAGTACTTAAGAGTTTTATGTTTTCTTTTTATACTGATTAGTATAATATAACATCAGTATACGTATTTCATAGGCTTCCAAGAATAAATTTATATTCTATCACCTATTCCCAGCTGATGTTTCAAAAAATGTATTTTGGAAGAGAACAATATTGTGTATTTATTATATTTTTCTGTTGCCATAAACTGCAATTCCAGAGGGGTATATATTGTATTGTATGTGAAACAGCAAGTTATATATGCAGCTTCTACTTTTACAACTTTGATTTAATTCATTGCAAAAAAAAATCCTGTGAATGAGGAAATAAAAAGAATAAGCATGGCAAAAATATCAAAATTAAATTTGTTCTCTTTTCAAATGATATGTGGAAATGAGATTGGGAGAATGGGTGAAGAGATGCTCCTAGGAATGGTCTTCTGAAGTTATTTAATGAATATTATGTTTGTAGCAGCTGATATTTCTTCCACTTCTTGCTCATTCTCCTGGTTCAGAATCCCCCACATATTTCATGCTCCTCCATGCTCCATTCCCAGGTTCCTGAAGCAGGCTCTTCCTTGTTAGCCCATTTGATCGGTGTCTGTGATAGGGAACATAGCCCACAGCTACATAGTGGCTGGATGGAACTTATTTTAAAACTCTATTAATGTAGCTTTACAATAAAATACACTGCTCAAAAAAATAAAGGGAACACAAAAATAAGACATCCTAGATCTGAATGAATGAAATATTCTTATTAAATATTTTGTTCATTACATAGTTGAATGTGCTGACAACAAAATCACACAAAAATTATCAATGGAAATCAAATTTAGCAACCCATGGAGGTCTGGATTTGAGTTACACTCAAAATTAAAGTGAAAAAAGCACAAGAGGATCCAACTTTGATGTAATGTCCTTAAAACAAGTCAAAATGAGACTTAGTAGTGTGTGTGGCCTCCACATGCCTGTATGCTTGTACAATGCCTGGGCATGCTCTTGATGAGGTGGTGGATGGTCTCCTGAGGGATCTCTTCCCACACCTGGACTAAAGCATCCCCCAACTCCTGGACAGTCTGTGGTGCAACGTGGCATTGATGGATGGAGCAAGACATGATGTCCCAGATGTGCTCAATTGGATTCAGGTCTGGGGAACGGGTGGGACAGTCCATAGCATCAATGCCTTCATCTTGCAGGAACTGCTGGTAGACTCCAGCCACATGAGGTCTAGCATTGTCTTGCATTAGGAGGAACCCAGGGCTAACTGCACCAGCATATGGTCTCACAAGGGCTCTGAGGATCTCATCTCGGTACCTAGTGGCAGTCAGGATACCTCTGGCGAGCACATGGAGGGCTGTGCGGCCCCCTAAAGAAATGCCACCCCACCCCATTACTGACCCACTGCCAAACCAGTCATGCTGGAGAATGTTGCAGGCAGCAGAACATTCCCATGGCATCTCCAGACCCTGTCACGTCTGTCACATGTGCTCAGTGTGAACCTGCTTGAAGAGCACAGGGCGCCAGTGGTGAATTTGCCAATCTTGGTGTTCTCTGGCAAGCGTCAAACATCCTGCACGGTGTAGGGCTGTAAATACAACTCCCACCTGTAGACATCAGGCCCTCATACCACCCTCATGGAGTCTGTTTCTGACCATTTGAGCAGCCACATGCACATTTTGGCCCACTGGAGGTCATTTTGCAGGGCTCTGGCAGTGCTCCTCCTGTCCCTCCTTGCACAAAGGCAGAGGTAGCAATCCTGATGCTGTAGCCCTCCTATGGCCTCCTCCACATCTCCTGATGTACTGGCCTGTCTCCTGGTAGCGCCTCCATGCTCTGGACACTACGCTGACAGACACAGCAAACCTTCTTGCCACAGCTCACATTGATGTGCCATCCTAGATGAGCTGCATTACCTGAGCCACTTGTGTGGGTTGTAGACTCCGTCTCGTGCTACCACTAGAATGAAAGCACCGCCAGCATTCAAAAGTGACCAAACCATCAGCCAGAAAGCATAGGAACTGAGAAGTGGTCTGTAGTCACCACCTGCAGAACCACTCCTTTATTGGTGATGTCTTGCTAACTGCCTATGCTTTCTACCTGTTGTCTATTCCATTTGCACAACAGCATGTGAAATTGATTGTCAATCAGTGTTTTTACCTATGTGGACAGTTTGATTTCACAGAAGTGTGATTGACTTGGAGTTACATTGTGTTGTTTA